GTGTGTTAGTGGTTGAAGGCAAAAATACCTCAATTTGCAGTGTTTTACTGACTACATGAAAGAGACTGTATGCGAATGGTAAATTTCCCGTGAAAACAGAAGTGTGTTTTGAAAGAAGACAATGCATGTAACAGGCTGAAGTTGACACCAACACACCCAGGGTACCTTTCACATCGTATCTGGACGTGGAAAGTCCATGATCAAAGGGTCGATATGTGACAAGGTCGGAGTGAAAATGTGTTGTGAAATTTGATCACCCAACGTCACAAACTAAATTCAACAAAAAATCAATGTCTGCGACATTGGTTGCCAGCTAGGCAATGATGATTTTGGATCAGCTGTGAAGTCCGGCGCCTAGTGGTTGCTTGCCCCGCTTCTGTTCAATGGCTAATTAGTGGAGCTAACTGCTAACAGCCACCACTGCAACTAACAAACTCCACAAATCCATTCAGCAGCTCCACCATCCACAGTCAGACACACACGGCTGATTATTTACTGTTTAATTACAGCGCACAACTCGCACCAGCGACTGACCCTGCTCCGGTGTGAGTGTTTTTGCTGGCTAGTGAAACATCCTGGTACAGACTATTTACTGGAATTTACCAGCCTGTCGGTCATGCGGCATTTGAAGATAATCATAATAATCATGTTCTCAGCTTTCAACGTCCGATAGTCCACCACTAACATTTTGGTCACGTCTCATCAATGAAAATAAAACATAGATTTCATCTTAGTTTTAATTGTCAAGATCTGTTTGTAGCTTAGGTCATCATCTTGTTTTTGTCATGGAAAAAGGTTGTTAATGAAAATTTTTTGTCAACGAAATCAACACTGCAGCTGGGTTCTCTCCAATCTAGTGGAACTAGATGGCACTCGGCTTGTAGTGCTCAAAACGCCAAAAAATACATTTAAAAAAACTATAACAATGTCTCTTTCCAGATATCATGACCTGGTTACTCAAGATAATCCACAGACCTTATTGTAAGCAGTTTCGTGTAGGAACTATTTTCTTTCTACTGAACTACAGCCACCAACTGAATCACTGCACAGAAGGAAGTATGCATCTGCTCATGGACGAGAGGCTTGTGCTTATGACAGCATGATATTATAGCATCAGATGCTATGTGTATTGTACCTTGTGTGTCCCTGTGTTGTTCTGTTGTATGTCAACATTCATTAACTTTAATTTTGTATGTCCCACCAGGAAGAAGTTCCCTCTACATCATCCTCTCCACTGGAGGCATCTTCCTCCTCATCACCTTGGTAACGATATGTGCCTGCTGGACACCTTCCAAAAAGTAAGAACTGCTGGTAGTCTTTTAAATCAACCCTAAAAAGCAGAAAGGTGATTTTAGAAAGGTCGATCTGGAGTGCAAACAAACAAACATTATAACATGATGTTAATACATTGCCATTTTGTCTTTATTAGGCAAAGACATCAAGCTAGAAAGCCTCTCTCCAGGTTTTATGACCACTCTGATCACTCACCAATCAGTCTTACAGGTATAGTATTGTTATCCTTAATTAATATTCCACTGAGATGAAAGAACAAAAAGTAATCAGCTAATCTACGACAACCCATTCTCAATTCGAAGATGTCAAATACCGCAGTGTGATCAAAAGGCATCCTTTTGCAGTGGTACGATACGCTTCCGTGCGATATTGGTTTATAACACCCCAGGACGGCGTCAGTTTGAAATGCCGCCAGACAACATCATTATGGTGCTTTAAAGTTCCTAAAAGGCGAGTAGGAGGGGTGGAGCACAGGTCAACAAACACTGGACTTTCACCCAGGAGGCTGGTTTTCACTTTTGGTATGAAAGTAGAGCCAAACCATGATGTTTTTTTCTCAACGTAACCATGTGCGTTTGTTGCACAAGGCAAAAAATGTTGTATGTTTATTTTGCAAACTATTTCCTGCAAACTACATTTCCTGTGAGAACAGAAGTGTATTTCGAAGAGACACAATTCATGTAACAGGCGTAAACTGACAACAGACGCACCCAGGATATCTAGTGCGTCAAATGTAGACATGATGATCCACTGACCGAGCCGCTATGTGTGATGACTTTGGAGTGAGAACGTGTTGTCGACTATGAGACTGGAAGATTCCCTGTCGAGAATTTATGTGAATGACAATCCGATGTTTTGTGCTTTGCCACAGATGGTGTGCTCCCAAAAATGACAGAGCATAACGGAATAAATGCTGTAACTTCACTTTACATCCTGCAGCAAAAGGTATCTCTTTCATCACCACTATGATTTTATTATTCTGTGACTAACAAAAGGTAGCAAGACTAAAACTTAATCAACACTAACATCCCCTGAAGGCTTTCTGTTTACACAGGGTTATTTACAGTGGAACTTATGATGTAAAGACTGTCCAAAGCAAAGAACATGCATAGTAATCATGTATATAGAGAAATATGGTCTGTTGATATATGGTATAAATAAAAATGATGAACTTACTGTCTCATAAAGTATATTTAAGTTTCACTCAGCAACACTACAATTAATCCCATAGACTATAGGTTTAATGCCACTCCAGAGGAGGACAGACTTGTGTGAGCTGGTGAAATTGGGAGTGAGGATCATTTTTTGTTTTGTTTTGAAGAATTAAGAAATGTGCTTAGTAAAATGACATACATTTATGTTGAATTCTTTTGCCTGGGTGACCATGAAAAACTCCAGTTGTGCAACCAGGAAGGAAACATTTCTTGAAACAGATTTCATTTACCAAGCTTGGGGAGAGAAGTCAGAGCATTTTGTTCAAGATGGAACTTTAAAACAACTGAAATAAAATGTATTGCGTGTTTGTTCACTGCAGCTGTCCTTCTGGGCCCTATTTCAGAGAGCAGGATTAGTGACAGTGACGACATGAACTTTGTCTTACTGGAGAACTGTTGGTGGAGAATGGATTTGAGCTGAAGCCATCTTGTTTTGCAGGATCCCTCCATGGATGACTCTTCCAGCAACAGTATTGGATCTCCCTCTGAACTTGACAACCCGCCGAGCTACACCAGTTCCCCCAAATACACCAGTCCTCATGCCCAGTCTAATGGGTCCCCTGCCCACTCCTGTCACAGGTATACCTGAAGGCCCGTCGTGTTTAAGTCTCCACATCGCACCATGTGAGACATCAGAGTGTCCAGCTGACTCTGGACGGCAACTTTCTGCACATCTGCCCGGAGTTTGGGAAATATATCAAAACGGTTTCCTGGGGTTTTACAATAATGTTATTACTGCCTGTTGATGTGTTTTATGTAAAAGTAAACTGGAACTTGAGCCTAAGTTGCGTTTAAGGTTAGAGGCACTGTCTGTGGAGGAATATGGTGACAGTGTGACATTGGGGAAGTTTTTAAAGAGCTCTGAAGCCTGTCTTTGGATTTATAATTAACTACCATTGTTGTTAGTTACTGGAACTACAAAATTTGGGGAATGGCACAGAGTCTGCATGAAGCTGAGGTGAAGTCGGTGAGACGTAACTGTAAACTGTCATGTGATGAAGATACTTCTCTGTATGCTTTATTGTGAATTCAAAATCACAACCATATAAGACAGTTTGTCGTTAATGCTAAAAAAAAGAATTAAGGATAAAGTTGGAAAAAAATCACCCTTAGAATGTTCTTCTTTTACTCCTTTTGAGTGTTGTGTGTGATTTTTTCTGTAGTGTTGTTGAAACGAAAAACACACGTTTGTAATATTTTGTGAAATAATGTAAATTACTATTTTAGTTATACTAGATGATTTAATAGCACTTTCAGTGAGACAACAGAAGAAGCCATGTTGGTGAAGGGGTTGTGGTGTTTAAATTTTATACAAACTTTAATAAAATCTGAAATGTTTCACAAGTTTCTTGTGATTTTTTTCACTGTGCTTTTTGACTCTTACGTCATTTAAGTTGTACCTCAGGGCTCTTACTCATTCATATTGTCATGCTTTTTCATTTTCCACTAGTTTAAGGGTGCTGACCTGTTTGGTTTGGTTGAACATGTAATCATTGCCATCAAGATGAGCCAGACGCGGCACAATGCATGGTGGTTGGTGTCTGACTTCATCTCGACTTGCTCTGACATCATATAAAAGTGGACACTGAGATCGAGGCAGCCAGTCCAACCAATAAACTTTGGTTCAGCATCAGTTTCAGCATACATGGACAGGATGGACGATTGAGGGAACCATATCCCCTTCAATAGCTCAGTATGTAGAGTGGAAGACTGTAGATTGATCATAACAGGTATCCTTAGGTCGCTGGTTCAACTCCGGCTCGAAGGATGGACTCTTCATCGGTGTCCGATGTGTGACCATTCAGAATGAAAGAGGTTTGTTTGACATTCAGGCTTGATTTCACTGGACAAAAGGTTGCTTGTTGAACACGTAATCGTTGTCATCAAGATGAGCTAGACCTGTGCAGAATTGAACACTGCCAAATGCCGCACAGTGCATGGTGGTTGGTGTCAGACTTCATCTGCACTTGCTTTGCCATTATGTAAAAGTGGACAACGATATTCTCAGGAGATCGAGGCAGCCAATACAACCAATAAATTTTGGTTCAGCATCAGTTCCAGCATCCATCCAGAGGATGGATGATTGAGGGGTATGTGCTCCCTTCGATAGCTCAGTTGGTAGCGCGGAGGACTGTAGGCTGATCATAACAGGTATCCTTAGGTTGCTGGTTCAACTCTGGCTCGAAGGATGGACTTCTTATTGGTGTCTGATATGTGACCATTCAGAATGAAAAGATTTTAGTGGAATCTTAATGTTTGATTTCATTGGACAAAATGTTGCTTGTTGAACATGTAATCGTCATCAAGATGAGCCAGACACCGTACAATGCATGGTGGTTGGTGTCCGACTTCATCTCGACTTGCTATGACATTATGTCAAAGTGGACAACGATATTCTCACAAGATCAAGGCAGCCAATCCAACCAATAAACTTTGGTTCTGCTTCAGTTTCAGCATCCCTGCATATGATGGACAATTAAAGCACGCTTACTCCCTTCGATAGTTCAGTTGGTAGAGCGGAGGACTGTAGAGTGCTCATAACAGGTATCCTTAGGTCGCTGGTTCAACTCCGGCTCGAAGGACGGACTTTTCATTGGTGTCCGATGTGTGACCATTCAGAATGAAAAGAGGTTTGTTTGACATTCAGGCTTGATTTCCCTGGACAAAAGGTTGCTTGTTGAACACATAATCGTTGTCATCAAGATGAGCTAGACCTGTGCAGAATTGAACACTGCCAAATGCCGCACAGTGCATGGTGGTTGGTGTCAGACTTCATCTGCACTTGCTTTGCCATTATGTAAAAGTGGACAATGATATTCTCAGGAGATCGAGGCAGCCAATCCAACCAATAAACTTTGGTTCAGCATCAGTTCCAGCATCCATGGAGAGGATGGATGCATCCAGAGGATGGATGCTTGAGGGATACACGCTCCCTTCGATAGCTCAGTTGGTAGAGCAGAGGACTGTAGGTTGATCACAACAGGTATCCTTAGGTTGCTGGTTCAATTCTGGCACGAAGGATGATTTTTCATTGGTATCCGATCTGTCAAAATGAGTATGTAAGGTGGAGTCATTGCAAAATAAACCTTGATTTTGTCCAACAAAAGCTGCTTGTTGACCCCATTGTCTTAGTTATTATGTGGTTGTTCTCCAACCATTTGAGGGAAGAGCTTTCTAAATTTGTCATAAGTGTTATGATGTTGAGTCTTTTCAAAATAAACTTTGGTTTAGTATCCATTTCAGCATCCATGGAGGAGATGGATGATGGCAGGACACTTGCTCCCTTCGATAGCTCAGTTGGTAGAGCGGAGGACTGTAGGTTGATCATAACAGGTATCCTTAGGTCGCTGGTTCAACTCCGGCTCAAAGGATGAATTTTTCATTGGTGTCCAATCTGTCAAAATGAGTATGTCAGGTGGAGTCATTGCAAAATAAACCTTGATTTTGTCCAACAAAAGCCGCTTGTCGACCCCATTGTCTTAGTTATTATGTGGTTGTTCTCCAACCATTTGAAGGAAGATCTTTCTAAATTTGTCATAAGTGTTATGATGCTGAGTCTTTTCAAAATAAACTTTAGTTTAGTATCCATTTCAGCATCCATGGAGGAGATGGATGATTGCAGGACATTGGTTCCCTTCGATAGCTCAGTTGGTAGAGCGGAGGACTGTAGATTCATTATAACAGGTATCCTTAGGTCGCTGGTTCAACTCCAGCTCGAAGGATGGACTTTTCATTGGTGTTCGATGTGTGACCATTCAGAATAAAAAGAGGTTTGTTTGACATTAAGGCTTGATTTCACTGGACAAAAGGTTGCTTGTTGAACACGTAATCGTTATCATCAAGATGAGTCAGACCTGTGCAGAATTGAACACTGCCAAATGCCGCACAATGCATGTTGGTTGGTGTCAGACTTCATCTGCACTTGCTTTGCCATTATGTAAAAGTGGACAACGATATTCTCAGGAGATCGAGGCAGCCAATCCAACCAATAAACTTTGGTTCAGCATCAGTTCCAGTATCCATCCAGAGGATGGATGATTGAGGGATATGTGCTCCTTTCAATAGCTCAGTTGGTAGAGTGGAGGACTGTAGGCTGACCATAATAGGTATCCTTAGGTCGCTGGTTCAACTCTGGCTCGAAGGATGGACTTTTTATTGGTTTATTTGGTTTAGTATCCGTTTCAGCATTGATGCACAGGCTGAACAACCTGGGGATATTTGCTCCCTTTGATAGCTCAGTTGGTAGAGTAGCGGACTGTAGGTTGATCATAACAGGTATCCTTAGGTTGCTGGTTCAACTCCAGCTCGAAGGAACTTTTCATTGGTGACCATTCAGAACGAAAAGATGTAAATGGATCTTGTTTTCAGAGTCCAGGGTTATTTGCTCAATTTCGTCTGACAAAAGCACACTTGTCGAACATATCGTTGTCAAGCAGGTGCTCTGTAAATTTGTCATGAATTATAGGTTGACAGCAATTATTCTTTGGTCACCAGTTCAACTCCAGCCCAAAGGAGGTACTTTCTGGACGCTGTTCAATATGTGAATGTTTAAAATGAACAGATGATAATGGGCTTTGGTTTCAGAGTTGCAGGATTCATTGTTTGATTTCATCAGATAAAATGTCAAGTTTCTGTGGCACAATCATGTGAGAGCAGTGAAATGATCGTGCCACAAACACTAAATCCATCTCTTTTAAATTATTATGGAAAGCATAAGTCACTAAACTGTATATCTGCATTCTGTTCCCGTACCTTCTTTTCAAAATAGGACAAAGGTTTTCCCATTATTGTCCACTTCCACTGTTTTCAAATTGCCCCCTATGCTCATATGTTCACAATAAAAATCTCTTAACATGTTGCTCTGTTTATGTTACTTTACTCTTTTGTTGTAAAGAAGTGATGACTCCAGCGGCTTTACATGAAGTGGATTTACTTGTCAGGGGTCCCCTATTGTCCATCCCAACTTCCCATCCCTAATGCATGGTGTATGTACCGTACATTCCAAGGCCCCATTATGTGCAGTGCATACAGCGAGCTGTAAATGTGTGCTTCATTTGCTCAGTGACCCCTCAAAATAACAAAACAGCACTTCTATGCCAGCATAGAAGCCTCATGTTTTCTATTTAAGTGTCAGCTTGAGTAATTTGGCAATATGCACCATCTAAGTATAGTATAAACTAAACTAAAATAATTGTTTCAGTCAGCTGACCCTCTGATCTTGATTTGGGATACAGGTTCCTGGTAGTGGTGATGATGATGATGATTTCCACTAACCTCTGTGATTACCAACTTGACTGTGACACGTCTCTTCAGTCAGTTCTGCTCTGTGTTTTGTAACTGGACGTCTGAACACAGTGAAGCATTGTGTGTTTGACAGTTTAATGACATAAGGTGTGGTACTGTGACAATAACAAATCATTTACAGCAGGGTTACAGCAAAGATGCTAGAAATATTCCATTTCACAAGATGCTATGATCGCTCTCACCTAACATCCTGCATTGCTGGCAAATGTTCTGCTTCTATATGTGGGAGTGCTCGAGACAATGTTGCTTTTAAAAAACATATGAGATCTGCAACAGAGACATGAAGGTGGGAGATTAGATTTGAAATGGAGCAAAGCCACAACCTAAACGAGAAAGGATAAAATGGACAGTGGGCTCATGCAGGCACATAAACTTTTTTTTTTTTTTTTTTTTTTACATGTAGGAAAATAGTGTCACCAACACAACTGCTACACCGAAAAAGTCTTTTCTGTTGAACAGATAGAAGCAAGGCTTCATTTCCTTTTCAGGGTTAATACCAAAACATTTTCATTTATCAGCTACATAAACTACACCATCACTGGACTACACTGTACTAGCGCAACTCTTGGCCTTTGGCCGTTTGTTCTATAGCACACACAAAGCCAGCATTAGAAGGTTATACTGACACTAGGGTACTAAAACGTAAGCTTGGCATTTAATTTGTGCGAATGCTTGGTCCTGTGAGACTGGTTAAGCTGATTTGCCACAGGTTTGGACTGGCCTGACAACAATGACATGGAGATCACAAAAACACTGGTATCAAAACAAAAAGTGAAAGCACATTACAGAACTGAAGGTACAGTGAAGCCAGTTAAAAAGGAAACAGGCAGAGGTAGATGCACAATAAATAGGAATGACGATGCATAAAGCGGTGTACAACTAAGTGGTTGCAGTAAACGGGGCTGTTACAAAAAGATACATGTGAAATGAACCAGCAAATCATCTTCGGAGTGGCACTGGTGTGTTAACACATATTCGATAGCTGCTGTGGTTTGTGTAGTGGTTCCAAGTGAAGACTTGTGAGCTGAAAATAATGGCAACCTGGATATTTAAACAAGTTAAACAAATGTACTGTGCGTTACTTTGAGTCAGAAGCTTCCCGACTGTCTGTCCTACTGATGGTTTGTGTTCCTCCACTGAAACAGCCCGCAGACACCTCACCACACTGGGAGTTTGTTTTTCTTCCGCCATAATTCACAGGTGGGGAGCCGAAATGAAACGCCAGGATTTAGTCGTCACTTTAGAGTTACTGGTGCTCTTACTCGTGCGATCTGTGGTCTGCGTTTCGGTTTCCGACCGTTTGGAATGTTATTTTAAGTTTTTCATTTACTGGTCAACATTTAAAGCCCAGTTCAGACCAAAGATTCAAGACAAGATGAGATGAGTTTAAACAGGCAACTGAAACATTCTAAAAACCTGCTGGCTCACATCAATGCAACTAGATGACAGTGTATCATCTCTGGTCAACAACTCCCTGTACTTCTGTTCTGATTTGCAGCTTTTCAGGTTTATTTTGTGGCTGAATATAATTTGTAGCTTCTTAAAATCTGAATGGGGATAGTGATAGTGAGATACTGGTTACAGTGATGAAACAAAACCAGCATCAGATGGACTGTATTCATAATCAATACGCCACAGTAATATATATATTTTTAAAAACAGCACCAATTATCGCCACCGTCTGACACTGGCACACGGTGAGGACGCAGAGGGCTCGATGGGGATGGAGCACCTGCTGCAGCAAGTGAACACGCCTCCTGCAGTCATTTTGACTTGACCAGTGAGCTTCACTACAAGCTGACTGGCTGTTGAAACAGGTGATGTGCTTTAAAACCAGCCATCAGCAATTTGACCAGCTATCTGCAGGTCACACCATCACCCAGCTTGAGTCGAGCTCAGACCAACCAGTTCACACCGCTGACACTTTTTTTCTGCAACGTTCTAAACCGGTTTTGTTGCGCTGCCAATCTTTGGTCTAAACTGGGCGTTATACTTATAGAGGAACAGTAATATTTCTATCACCAATTAAATACAAGAAGCTGTGTTTAAGTCATGACAGGAAGAACAGGAACACGTATGTTGCGCAATATAACGTTGGTTAATTTAGCATGTCTCTGTAAGTAACTGTAAGCTTTGACCTCCGGGAGGCAAACCTGCTGTAGCACAGACGTTAGTAGCTTCCGTTGATCACATTGTTGGTTCACACATGTTAATGGCAAAAGGAACAAATCAACACTGGTATTATTCTGAAGGTGCAACTGAAGCAAAGTCAAGACAAAAAAAAAAGACAACCAAAAGGAGTGTGAGCCACACACCGTACAAAAGAATGGCTTAATGGAAACTAGGAAGATTATTTTTTCACTCGTTTGACAGTTTCACCATCAGCCACATCTTTACAACATTAAGACACTAAGTTAAGGATGGAATGGTTGACGTGTTCTCACTGGGAGGTAAAAATTTAAATGGGGGTTGAAACAGGATCCAATGCTGCTTCAAACTGCCAAAATAAAGAACATCAACAGCGTTTGAACGTTTTAACTCCAGTATGATATACACACACTATTCTTTTGTATTGAAATTTGTCTTCAGAGGAAAAAAACAAATATTCCAAATTATTTAGAAACCCGTCATTTACTGTTTGGATTCCTTTGTTTTGGCAGTTGCTGCAGATGGCAGAAAATGATAAAACACTGCAGTTTGTCGTCAGGATGAAGCCAAGTTGCTGAGTGGGAAAGCAGGTCAGTTCTTCAGCACAGAGTCGTATGTCTGGTAGACGTATTGAGAAACCTCCGGGGCCCGACACTTGAGAGACAGCTGAGAGAGAGAGAAGTCGCAGAGTTACAACAGGAGACACCACTCGTACATACAATCAAGTACGTACAAGTGATCATCTGGTTTCTTTCCTCTCTATGAGAGTGACCCGAATATCTTTAGATTGAGGCAAAACAAGAGATTTGAGGACGTCATCTTGAGCTTTACCTAACACTGAACAGCATTTTTGACCATTTTCTGAACATTTTACAGACCAAACCACTATCACTTAATCTAGAGTACAACCCACAGATTAATCTACGATGAAAAGTAGTAGCAGTCTAAATCCTGAAGTTTTCAAGACCTTGAAATTCTTCTTTGCTTTATTTTTGTCCCTCTATGACCAACACACCTGTGTTGGAGTTCTACATTCAACCTTGTCAATGTCACCTATGATTTTTCCACAGTCAATGTGCAAATAACAAAACATCAAACAAATATAAAGCTGAGGGCCAAAAGGTTAATTGGTGAATACTCTACCGTGTAGTTGGGGTTGCCTGGCTGAATGCGGAGCTCAGCCAAGATCCAGATGCCGTTGGTTAGCTTGAGGGACTGGTAGAGCATATCCTGGCCTTCTACGTTTCTCTTGGCAATGGTGTAGATGTTGTTATTTTGCAGCTTGCCCGATACTGTGTCTGCAAGACCAGAATCAAAGTCAGGTAATTCACATACCTGAGTTACTGAACAAAGAGAAACCACATGAAACACACGCACAAAAGGCTGTAATCACTACAGGTACTAACGCTAATGTTCACATGAGCTAATGCAAACTACTACTGGCAAAAGGTTGATCAGGAAACTGATGGTAAATAGCTCTATGAGGATTTTAATAAACTATGACTGACAACCTTCAGATTTCAGTAAACCTGATCAGGTACTCTACAACACTGGGCTAAGCTAAAAGGTCATTAACCATTGTGCTGCCAGGATAAGAGCGGCACAAGTATGGGCAGGTTGGAAGTGTCCTTCAGGTACAGAGGAAGAGGAAATGTCCAGAGATATGCATGTGGGTGGAGAAAGAAAACACAGAGAGAAGAGTGAGGTCTTTGGATGAGATGGTGTCCAGGGCGACCCTTTGGGGTGAGGTGATGATTAAACAGCATTGTAACTACACAGGTGTGCCTTAGGTTGGTCACAACGAAACACCACTCTAAAAATGTGAAGTTAAACTTGTAAAAAAGTCATAAAACAGTTAATTTCCAAAACGAATCATTTGATTAGAAAAAGAGGGATTCTTTGAGTGCTGATATTGAGTATAACATCACTGGGAGGCTGAACTGTGTATCACTCAGCTTTACAGATGTTAATTATTTTTATTTTATTTGGCCTACATCAGTGGTGTAACAAACTTTGCACCGCAAAGATGAACACATCTCCACAAATATCACTTGAATTAAATTATGAATGGTCATCCGAGGAGGACAAAGTGTAGGAGAGAAGCCTGGATACTTCACTGCAAACTCAGGCGTGCTCATGTCACAACGGTCCTGTCTGATCAAGCTGTTAACTAAGGCTACTTCCAAACAGTCAATCAAATATTAGTCGACGGGAAAGGTCATTAGTCGGTAAGATTTCATTGGTTGCTTAGTCACAGAAAAAAACAAAAACAAAAAACAACAACAGTGAAACTCTATTAGGAGCTGCACCTTGTCAAAATAAATCCAATCCTATATGACTGGACCATGTGGGACTTTAATTTGAAAGGACAGACACAGGAAGTGTCCACGCTCAGCAGTCAGACAGGAATCAGGTTAATTTCCAGGGCTGGTACCTGCGGTTATTCCACAGGCTAGTTAATAACATGTCGGGCAGGAAATCCAAAGTGTGGGATCATTTTGAGAAGGTGAAGGACGAACCCAAGGTGATATGTAAAATCATCTTCATTGGTCGACTACAAACATGACGTATCATCTGAAACATGGAAGTAGCTACATGCCCATTAGCCCACAGCGTCATTAACAGGCGGCTCGCTCAGTGTGTGACGTGCACTTGTAGATAAAATATAGGCCTATATTAATGAAGGTTCATTAGTACGCTTTTGTATTTCTCTGTAATGTAGCACAGTGTTAACAATGTTACTGATACTATTCTTTCTCACACCTTCAACTCAAACCACCAAAATATATCATTTACTCATTACATTCATATCAGAAACATGCGGGAGACTAGTCAACTAATGGACCGTAATAATGACTGTTGGTCGACTAGGTAAACTCTTAGTCTGGGGGGCAGCCCTACTCTTCACAGATTCACACATGCCAATGAAACAACTGTCAACAGAAACTTATCTCACTGGTTTCACGATAAATGGAAACATACAGATAAATTTGAAATGATCAGCTGATGTTTTGTGAACAGAACAAGTGGCGGCACATCAGGTGGAAAAAAAATGCACTTAGGCCTAAACTAAGTGTCGTAAATATGATCTGCTTGTATGAAACTTCACTTAGATAATGTATAAATCAGAAGGCACATGGTAACTTACATTAAGACAGGAAAAAAATTTGAATCTTTAACTGCATTTTTTAACCAAACAACCGATGATTCTCCAACTGCATTCAATAAAAGTAAATGTCAATCAATGATCAACTTTAACTGTCCAGCAGAGGAATTTTCTTATTTGTTAACCAACAGACAGGACATTAGAATCATCGCTTTGTAACCAAGGGCGACTTTATTCACCAGCTTAGCCTACCTGCATTTAGGTGGCACTCCTTTATCTGGTACTGGAGCTCATTCTCATTGGGGATGTCTTTCCAGGTAGCCAGGAACACCTGTCGCTCTGAAGAAGGAAGAAAAAAAAACAGCTGAGAGCTGACTTCCACACGGAGAAACCTGACACATTATTCTCTAGTCTTTCAGTATAGCATTTATGTAGCCGACAGGTACATATTGGAGACCATTTTACAGGGTTGTTGTTTAAATTTTAAGCCTGTTGAATTGGAGCAAATTGAAATTACACGACTAAAACTGACAGTTTAAACTTGAGATATTCACTGAAATGAGGAGAGAATCCACACCACAGGAATTCAGACAAGACATTTTCAAAGTAAAATCTTAAATGTAAATATTAAGGATTCAGTAGTAATTTAATTTCACAATTATATTTTGAGTAGTCTCTACATACAGACTCTACATTCAGTGAATGCAGAGTCTGTAGGCAAACCCCGGAGATCTTGCCTCCGGAAGAAGAGCGACAGAGCACTGGCTTCCGGTTGTAGGCTGTTTGTAGTCCGCGTGATATTGACCAATCACGTTTGAGCCGGCTGCAGTTGTTGCCAGGTTAAACGGTCCGTGCAGTGAACTATAATATAATTGGCGTCACTGCAAACTCTGAATCTATCGCAGTGGTTCAGCATATTTACTTATACATAAACGGAAGTCGGAAACGGAAATTCGCCTCCACCGCCCAAATCAAACCGGAATGCCAAAAAATCAGTGGTCTGCCTCCAGAGGCTGTATCGCCGTCTGCTGGAAGTCAGACGCCGAATATAGCCGATGGGTTCCAAGAATATACTTTCAGTAACTTATAAGAATCAAATATTTATGACAATAATTTCCTTCCAAAGACAGAGCGCAAACCTCATTTTTAAACTGTCTACAAATAGCTGTGTTTTCAGATATCGCACAGTAGTGCTTCCTGTCTTAAATTCTGCAGTAAGCATATTTTAGAAATCATGACACATCTCGTGTTACCAGCAACATTTTGTCCCTGCTTCAGTGGTTGTTGAAGACATGTGACAGTGAGGGTGTAAAGAGAAATGTGATGCCTTTTTATAAAGTCGTGAGTAACAATCGTACCCATTTTTCCATCCTCAACAAAGAATATGTTGAGAGGGATGAGTACGCTGAAGTAGAAGACATCGATGCTGTTCTTCACAGCCACCTGGGCACAAGTAAACAAAACAAAAGCTTATTATGCTTGTTCTGCACGGCTGAGATGTGCTGGGTGATATCAGCAATTACATAAAACACTCCAAAAAATAGAGGACGCAAACAAGAAAGTACAAGTGACAGTTTTGGAAATGTGTTGCACTGCTGTTAAGATGTTTGGTGAGTGACAGCTCCTGTACCTGCAGATTATTGAGAGGGTCCATCTTCATGACTGGCCCGATGGTATTGATAGGCAAAGAGATCTCAATACTCTGACTGGGCATCAGCGGAGTATGAATGGGCAGAGGACTGGTAGGGATCACCCCGAAACTGTGTGGAAACCAACAAAAATCAAACACTGGCAGCATTCATTTATAATATATACACTTATACATCAAACTAGAATTACAGCAGTCTAATACTCCTTTCATACCTGTCTTTCTTGTAAAGGTTAAGGCGTCTGTGTTATTCATGAATTCCCTATGACTCAACCAGCGTTCATTTTCTTTGAAACGATGAACCCACGCTGACCGACTTGGCTTTGTGACCCAGGTAGACAGGTGGGTCAGACAAGGGTCATTTGGTTGCAAATGGGGGCACACAGGTCAGACGTAATTGTCACAGGTCGCCGCAGCCCCGAAATAAACAGAACAATGTCAGCAGGAATCTTTTTAGCTACAGCTACAATTTGAACATGAAGATGTGACAAGATTTCGAGGTGCAGTAACTCCTGGCAAGGACGAACAGGTTCCTACAGCAAAAGGCAAATTAGATTTAAGACTTTTTGGAATTAAATTTAGGACCAATTTTACAACAACAAAAAATGAAGAAAAACAAAAGCATGACATATGGTGGAGGTGTGGCGGAGACGAGGATAGAACCCAACTGGAAAATACCTGCTGTTTGTTGGTGGGGTTTCTTGGCGATTTTTTTTTGTTCTTCACTCTACATGTGGCACTCCACTGTGTTTATAAATCTTTTTTTGCACAATACACCGAGCCTAGTATGCACTGCCTTGTATTGATTTCAGCCATCCAGCTAAATCTTGGTTAAATAACCAATTTTCATCGCATTTGCACTTTGCCATGTTGCCCAGTGTACAGTGACAGTGAGCTAGCAGACAGTAGATCCTCTGCTCTGAACATCCTGGCTGGAAACAAAATGTGAGTGTTGCTGGTTCCACTATCCTGATCTGAGTGATGTTAATGCAACAGACATTCGGTAAATCCTTCTTTAAAAATAAGAGATCAAACCAATCATTTTTGAGATTTTACAATTTCATGTCAGAAAACCTACGTTCCATGTCTTCACATTTTTAAGACTTTTGAAAGATCAATTTAAGACATTTTAATACAAACTAAAGCTTTATTTTTAGAGCAATGGTTTCAATAACTTTCAAGACTTTTTAGGGTTCCACAAGGACCTTGAGAAGTTATGTAGCAGATGACCAGGACGGAGACAAGGACAAGGTAGTGTGTGCGAACACAAGGAGGCTGCTAAATAAGAGAGGCATCCAATGTACACAGAAAAAAAGAATGCCTGAACAAATAAGTTCTCAGCAAGTGAGGTAATTGGTATGCATTGTTTCCGGGTTGTGATCCAGGTCGTATCTGAATTGTCATGACCAGGAAATAACCCATGTTGGCTGGCTTGGCTTGAATTGACAAAAGACAGGTCAGATGACCCCGATTGACTCTGGTCATTGTTGTGAATGAGGTATAATTAAGCAGCTCTACTGTTTAACACTCATCTCACCCACCTGTTCTTGTTAAACTGGACAGCGAAGTCGGTCATGTGTTGCAGGGCCTTGTTGGTGAAGGTCATGTCCATGTACATGTGACCCTGGCGGCGAGAGAAGGTTCCAGAGATCTCCAGTCCTTTGGCTTTCACTGCCGGCAGCCACACCTGGTAGAACAATACAAACATCATCAGTTCTACAGATTGTATATATTTAGTACGCTGCCTCACATTGAAGGATCTCACATTACTTTGTATCTTGTTATTTTACTGTGAGCAATGTGTGAGGTTGTGTGAACTCACTGCTTTAGGGGATACGAAGCCTCCAGTGGTGATGGCCATGCCGGTGGAAAGCTCAAACAAGTCGTTAAGGCCACTGCTGACAGCCTGAGGAGCTGGTGTGGGTGACGGAGCAAAAGTACTGGGGACAGATGAAGGGATGAAGTTCTGTCCCACCTAAAGCGGTAACAACAAAATCACACACACACATACACACAAAACACAATCTAAGCAACCATAATTTCAGTATGCATCACTGGCAACTTCACAGTTTGCTACAGACCTACAAAGAGAAGCACACAGACAATCTTAAGGTATGCCAAAGTAAGAAACGTTATCAAAAACAACACTTCAACTATAGCAAGTGATTAGCCAAAGCCCTTATGACAGAGGAAGTGTGAACAAGCTCAAATGTGAGGTGAGAGCCTCACCTGTGGTTTGTGTGTTTTAGCCCATTAATTAGAAAGTGACAGTGACCAAAAATACAAACGCAATACTTTTGGTTTTTGCTTCCATTTTCCACAAGTTTCCATGAGCGAGCCGCCTGTTAATGACGCTGTGGGCTAATGGGCATGTAGCTACTTCCATGTTTCAGATGATACGTCATGTTTGTAGTCGACCAATGAAGATGAGTTTACATATCACCTTGGGTTCGTCCTTCACCTTCTCAAAATGATCCCACACTTTGGATTTCCTGCCCGACATGTTATTATCTAGCCTGTGGAATAACTGCAGGTACCAGCCCTGGAAATTAACCTGACTCCTGTCTGACTGCTGAGTGTGGACACTTCCTGTGTCTGTCCTTTCAAATTAAAGTCACACATGGTCCAGTCATATAGGTTTGGATTTATTTNTGACTCCTGTCTGACTGCTGAGTGTGGACACTTCCTGTGTCTGTCCTTTCAAATTAAAGTCACACATGGTCCAGTCATATAGGTTTGGATTTATTTAACAAGTTTGTTTAACACGTTTGTTTGTTTGCTTGTTTCTTCTGAGACAAAGCGATCAGTGAAATCTTGCCAACTAATGAGCTTTCTGGTCAAATAACATTTGGTCGACTATTAGGTGGCAGCCCTAGTGTAAAATGTGCAGCCTCTCCAGACGGAGATGAGCGCAAATGAAAATTTTGGGATGCTTTTTCCGGTCAGAAAATGAGCTAAAACATGCAAAATATCCGTGTGATCTTCTAGCTGAAAGTATTTGAGTGTGAGAGACAGAGAAGCCAGGTTTAAAAAGTTGAAGAGGTCAGTTTGAGAGTGTGGTGGGTTAAATTGCAGCATGCAGCATGCAGACAGGCAGACTGCCAAACAGAAGGGCTTGACTTACTGCTGGACTTCCCCCAACACCTCCGCCCAGGTCTCCCCCCAGCTACAGGAGAGAAGAGAGTTCCCCAAAGACAGCATCCAAACATCACAGACAGACCAAACACACAAACAAAGACAGAGACAGAGACTTTCTTAGCAACCGCAACCCATCAAGAGGAGCCCTCACTTCTGGGAAAATACCAACTCCATACCGTATGTTAGACATTAAATAAGACTTTAAAATCTGCAAGGAGATCATAAAGGAGTCCAGTTGTTCCAGCGGCTTGGAGAAGTGGAGGAGTGACCATCAATAGAGGAAGAATACAACAAGGCTTAAGCCTGATTTATACTTCTGCATTGAATCAATGCTGTAACTACATCGTAGCCCGACATGCACCTCCCCAGAAATTCAATTACACGTCGTGGTGACGCAGACCTCCTGTCTATTATTGTAAGCTGAAACCATTTCCTTCAGTGGAAACAAAGCTTTTATTTACTTTAATTTCACAGATAAGAAACAATAAATTGTGAAGACAATAAAGCCTCCACAAAAATAGCATTTTTAAGTCTTGTGTGTGATTTATCCTGGCTTCATATGAGCAGAGGAAATCTCTGCTCGTTGCTAGGCTAATTTATACAATGTAAAATGCCATAGGCTTGTGCTAATAACGTTAGCATGTTGTATTTGTTTGGAAAACATGTTTAGTTTAAGACAGTTGTTTTGTCAGTGAACCTTATGAGCTGATATGGAGCCGAAATTTGTAACGTTACCTTTGTTAAATGTTGCTGTTGTCCCTGGCTTCATATGAGCAGAGGAAACATCTGCTAGCTGCTAGGCTAATTTATACAATTTAAAATGCCATAGGCTTGTGCTAATAACGTTAGCATGTTGTATTTGTGGGGAAAATGTGTCCAGATAAAGACAAGTGTTTGTCTGTGAATGCTGCGAGTTATCGTGAAGCTGATTTGTGTACTTGTGTTTGAAACTGTCTCTATTAAGCCATATTTAATGTGTGTTTAATGTGTGTTTTGAATCAACTAAACTTTTCAGCACTTCACAGAAACCTCCGCTGCCGACTAGTGTTTTGGAGGTGTTACTGCAGAGTGACACAGACACACCACCGCACAAGTATAAATGCTCGCAATGGCATAGGCCACGTGCGTAAATTACGGCATAGGCTCTGCACAGAGCTGACGCACAAGCATAAATCCGCCTTTAATGTAGCTCTGTGTTGAAAATATTAACATGTTAATATACCAACTTTTCACAACAATTAGAGTCATACATTTTAAAGTTTTCAGAACAAAAAATATTAAACAGTTTAAATCACAAACATATTTACATTATGAGCAAGAAAAAACCCCCGCAAAATTTCATTTGAAAAGAACAAAAAATGTACTGTAATAAGATTAAAAACAAATCTTGAGTGATGAATACACACAAGTTTTTTGGACTTGTAACACCAAAACATTGTTCAAGATAAGCATTGGTATGAAAACGAGGAAGCACAGAACGCTGATCAAGTCTTTAGCCGTGTTTAGCCAATGCTTCCACTCTACAGTAAAATTGGTGTGTGTGTGTGTGTGTGTGTGTGTGTTCAGGCTCACCAAACTGTCCAGGCCTCCTCCCAGAAGATCCACCGCACCCATCTGCATGGAGGAGACCTGGGGCACATTGACTGGAGGGCCCAGGTCCAGGTTCAGCAGGTCACCCAGCAAGTCACCCTGGCTGGGGATCACATGTGGCTGGTCCATGGCAGCTGCTGGCCCGCCGCTCACTGGGCTCTCACCTGTGTCAATGCTGTCAGAGGAGGAAACAGTAGTGCAGGTGAGGGACAAGTAATTTAGAAAGGCATCGCCCTACATGTTAAGAGAGTGCACACGGCAAGATGGCCAAAGGAAGTCAGAACCATGTGAGTGCAATCATGGGACGCACAGCTGCCAGTAGAAAAACTGAAATGCTGGTTTGTCACAGTGTGTCTGACCTGCTGTGCTGCACAGGAAGGTGTTTCCGGTGGATTCCATGGCTGCCCTCGACGAACGCGCTGGGGGGTTTGTGATAGACAGAAGCCAGGGAGCCAATGTGGCAGATGAGCTCGTCCAGTAGGGTGGGTTCGATCAGGTCTGTTTCCTCTGAGATCAGGGGCTTCTCTGACAACACCACCTCCTTGGCCGTCACAGGGTCAGTGGACAGCAGGCGCCAATAAATGTAGCCTCGGTCACGCAGGTCGGGGTTATCAGAGTCCTGCAGAGGAGCAGAGAGTTCAACACGTGTGCTGGGAATCATATTTCTTTGTTTCCTATTTATTCAGTGAAGAAGTAGATCTTGTGGATCAGCTGGACTGCGGTTATTTGTGTTTATGGTAGTTAAGAGGGGTCCATATTAAATTAACAAACAATAAGTGTCTGCACTTCTTAAGAATAAAAAAACAACACTTACCTGGGTGGCCAAGCTGAGGACCTGCTGCACCAACTCCTGAGTCTCTGATGGTTTCTTAAGGAACAGCTTGACAATGGCAGTCAGCAGAGTGAGCTGGACCTGGACATCAAAGCACATGCTGTTAGATTATCATATGTTCAGTTTGCAATGCCACCCATCCTCGCAGTAGGAGGAGTGAAAGACAAAGTGTGGAAACAGCCAGACAGGCTGATGTGTGGAGAAGGTCCTGTACTATACTGTCTAAACTCAACTGTGCTGAATTATTCTCAAATATAAATTTTATTATCTGTGTAAAACATAAAACCTTACTGCAAAACAAGCCTGTTTCCAAAGAGAGTAACAGCGCTATTTTTATATTTTCCCCCATTATCTTTGTATGTGCTGAACATGACGTCAGTAACTGTGAAAGATTCTGGATGTACACGCTTCAAAACATGCTGTCGGCTTATTTGAAGAACCTACCTGGGTGCTCTCGTCATGGAAACCCTCGAGGAAGCTCTCCAGCAACTCGTCAGCGTTGTCGATCCTCTCGGCGTACTCGCCAACAATCCAGATCATGGCAGCACGAGCGTCGGGCTCATCCAGAGAGTCCAGGTTCTCACACAGTGTGGCGATGATGCTTTCATACCTGAAGAACACCAGTATCTCAGAGGTCAGAATAAAACTCAGCATCTTTCGTGAAGTGCTGTAAATGTGACTGGCTGTCTGTATAATTATTTGTTGAGTAGTTCCCAGCAGTTCAGTGGGAAACATACTTGTTGGGGTACTTGCGGAAGATGTCCCTGATGACCACAATAGCCTCCTGAACCACGTAGTTGACTTTGGTCTGGATCAGGTCCAGCAGGGTGCTGACGCAGCGCTCAGCTGATTGCTGGAGAGGAACAGGACAGAGGCGCCGTGTCACCATGATGATTTTGCTACTATCACAGTGCTCTGGTGTCAAGTCTGATTAGAATTAAGATTGTTGTGCTGCAATGCCCACAAGAGGACTTTGACGTAGACATCAGCAGCACTGACAGCATTTCTTACCTCCACTTTGATGGCACAGCGTCCTATGGCTCGTACAGCCTTGCGCACAAAGTCAACATCCACCTCTGTGGCGTATTCCTTCAGTTCGGCCAGTACCTGAAGTGACACAGGACACAAGTGAAAGATACTGAATGTGTACCCAATAACACACCACAGAGATCTGTCTAAAGGGTTTTAGATGTGATTCAATTTACTGATTTTGTTTGAGTTTGATGTCTTTACTAAAATTACACTCCATTTAACAACAGACATCATTTGCACAACAAAAAAATTATCTATTTCACATGGGTTGGATCTTTCAAACCCTGAAAAACCAAATATCATCCTGAACTTCAACATATTTCACTCCCACATACATTTACTAACCCTGACAATATTGCTCTGATGGTGTTGTTTTAACCGTGTGTGAGTGTGTGTGTGTCTATGTGTGTGAACACGGCGAAATGTGGTCCTAGTGATACCACAATGGAAACTACCACAGAGGCTGTTCTGAGTATTTCGCCAGGTGTTTATGTCTGTGAGCAGATTTTGTCAGCATGATAATGAGCACTGAGCAAGATGCAGTCACGAAACTTTAAAAATGCGTGGCTGAGATCAAAATGAAGGGTGAGTTCAAAAACGGGCATGGTCTGAGCAAGGGGGCCACAAGTAAAGAAGGGGCCAAGCAACAGCTGCATTTGTCTCATTTGTTTGTGCGTTTTTTTTTTTTATTTTTTATAACCCATTTGATGTGAGACACAGCTGGCCCAATTCAAAAAAGTTTAGACACCCCTGCTTTAAACCATGACTGTGAAAGAGAGCAGAACCCTATGTAGCACTGTCATGTAAGGTACCTGGGCAATGTTGGCCTGGGAGGCCAAGCGGATCATGATGTCCAGTTTCTCCAGTTTCACATAGATAGGGTCATTGTACTTGACAAAGAAAACCTTGATCTCCTGCTTCAGGATCTCAGGCCTGCACACAAGCAACACATATTAGACTGTCGCCTGTATCGATATATAGAATGGGCAGTAGCAGTAAAAAATGAAACAGAGCCTCTGCTGTTTGTGGTCACGCACCTTTTCTGGACAATGAGGTTAATGTTCCTCAGAGCCACGTATTGGACCTCAGGCTCTCCAGAGAGCAAGGTGACCAGCGGTGGGGATAACTTCTTCAGCAAGGTGTTGTAGTAGTCGGAGTCCTTTGGCAGCAGCTCCAAGAACTTCATCAGAACCTTGACAGCTGACAGCACCACTGCTGAGTTGGCGTGAGACAGCCGGGGAGTGACACGCTCACAGATGCTTTGACAGGAAGGGAAAGATCAGAGTCAGTCAGGGAAATGTAACTCAACATGAACCTGAATCAAGCTGTTGTAGTGATTGTGTTGGGCCTGTGTCTGTTCCTACAACATTTTAGCTTTTGTGCCGAAATCTTTTCTACCAATTTGGACTTATTTATGTTTCCAGCACCTTACGAAGACGAAGCTGGGTGGAGTGGTGGTTGTCCCACATCATCTAATTTCCCTCGAGTGGTATCTCTCTATGCAGATTATTTTAAAGTAACATTTAAAAAATCTAAACTTTAATTTATCTCTTTCCAAAAACAGTTTCACTTACCCACAGACCTGGCACAGTGATAGTCAGTAGAAGTAACTACCTGCATGGGTATACACTATGGGAGGTAAGTGACAAAGTATGTTTTCGTAATTTGGGTTAACTGACTCTTTAATCATAACTAGTTTCATTAACACAGATCCAAAACGAGACATAATGAACTCTTAGTGTTATCTTTAGTTTAGTGCTGGTCAGGATTTTTATACTGTATTCATAAATAAACTTTCCTCATCAGATAAAATACAATTATTTTTTTCTTAAAAATCAGCAGGGGCAACAACAATTAATGCTCTTCATATAGTAGGGCTGCACAAAATTAAAAAAAAATCATATATCCATCGTGTCAAAGGGGGTCAGTTGAGGTGGTTCAGACACGTCCAACTGGTAGGAGGCCCAAGGGCGGACTCAGAAAAGGCTGGAGGGATTAGATATCCCGTCATCTGACCTGGGAACGCCTTGGGGTCCCCCATGGGCAGCTAGAAAGGGTCAATGGGGAGAGAAATGTCTGGGGTGCTTTGCTCAGCCTGCTGCCCCTGTGACCCGGCCCCAGATAAGTGACTTAAAATAGATGGATGGTTATTTTTGCATTTCATTTTCACTGAAAAAATATAAAAATGATGATGTGATTTTGCTGAGGCCCGTACCTAACAAGCACGTTTCCTGTTCCGGGATATGATTTGTGACACATTTTACCTTTATCACAAGAAAATGCAGCTCCTGCAATTCGGACATTGTCCTTGGCCATACTGTGATTTCGATAACATTTTGATTAATTGTGCAGCCCTATCAAATAACAATCACCAATACTCACCTTTGGGCCTCGCGCTCATCCTTGGGGTTGTAGTTGGACAAACAGTCCAGGATGAAGATCTGTCCCCACTCTGTGCACTCGTTGAGCGCCGTCAGCAGCTTGTTGATGTTCTGGGGATTGAGGTCCAGTAGGTTGCTGTTGGGGTGAGACTCGCTGATCTCAGACAGGGCAGCGACTGCGTTGGCCACAACCTAAAGGACAGAGGTGTTTTGTGATAAGTCTGTCGCCATCATGCCATTTGGATTAAATCAACACATATTTAAAGGTTGCGAGGAGCAATTCATCATCACTTTAATCCAAATAAAACTCAGGCAAACTGTAGTTAAAGCATTTAACACAATTAATGCAGCTTTAGAGAAACAACCCGGACAGATCTGCTTTTCTTGCTTCATTCTAACGTATGCTGGATTCAGACTACATGCTATCAGCCCGATTATAGCCCGACGGAGTGTCATACAGTGTCGGCTCGGACCGTAAATGACAATGAGTGCCATTAGCGAGAATCCATTGTTTTATCTCATGTAAACTGTCACTAAATTACACTAAAATCATTCTAAGCGCCACCTAATCCCAGACATACCCCAGTTTGAGTTTGTTGGAGTTTAACCTTATTCCACTGGTTGTGTTTAAGAGTGGATAACAGTTACACATGCCAAAATCAGAATCAAACTCTGATCCGTGACTGCCTTGGAACTGACACCTACCATGGGATTGGAGTCAGCAATGAGGTCTCTCAGGGAGTCCAGGAAGCCTTGGTCCTCCACCATCTGTGCATTGATGTCATGAAGTTTAGCCACGCAAACAGCCGCCGTCTTCCTCACGTACGGGTCCTCATCCTTCAGGCACTTCCTCAGCGGCTCGCACAGGTACTCGGTGATCTTGTCCACCCGGATACAGCCCATGGTGCGGACGGCCAGAGCTCGGATCAGAGGGTTGGGGTCCTCACAGTCCTAGAGGGCAAGACAAGAAAGGCAGATGTGATTTTAATGAGGTCAGATTTCACTGAGGTACATTCCCTCAGGGACACAGACGTAAAACTCCATTAACGTTCAATGACTAATTCTAAAACCTTAAATATCCAGATGATTAATTTCCAGATATTAGTAATCAGTATGGTTTTATACAACAACTTGGCTTTGTAGGTTTACAGAGGAGCAAAACAAATCTTTGAAGAATAAGGTAATAACAATGTAAACATAAGTGTGCAAACCACCATATCCTGTAAAAAGATATTTTTAGACAATTGCCTGATCTCTAGAGAACATAACCTGAACTTCCTAACTTTGCTTGTCAAGAAAACACACCTTCAAACAGCATGACAATTAGGGATGCATCTAACACAGACGTGTTAGATGTCACAGTGTCAGATACCCTGGCAGTGTCATACACAGTTGAAAAAACATGTTCATGTAGGGCCTTGCCTTGACGAAGCTGTTGACAGCCATGATGGCCATGTCGGGCTGGCTCTTGGCGTAGTTCATCAAGTAAAGGTAGACCAACTTCTTCAGCTCCAGGTTGTCGGTCTGCATGCAGTTCACCACATCTGGGAATAAAGAACTGACAGCAAAGCAAGAGAACTCAGTCAGAGATTACAGTGTGAGGCTTCAAGGCTCATTCTTACATTTATACTGTGAGTAATGTGGTAAACAATCCATCCTAAGAGCCGATATATACTCTCTCAGAGGTGTCGTTCAGCCAGCTCGTAAGTGGTAAACATAACAAAACAGTTTCCTGACTTCATGCCTGACTGTCCAGATGTGCAAAGGTGTAAAATTGGGCAGAGCTCCAAGTGCTCCACAAACTGTTTCCTCCACATTCCTGACATTCCTGCTTCCACCACTGTCTGGGTTCAATTTTCACTTATAAGAACCTTGTGATGCTTTGGCACAGGTTCCACTGTACTGACTCATTTGCTTGATAAATCACAGCTGAAAACATTGCCAGCAAAGCCTGAAAGTTACTGGAACTTGAATTTAGTGTCACTTCCTGTTTCTGAGCGATGCCAGAATGTAATTCCAGAAACAGTTCAAGCAGATCCCCTAACAACAGCTACGCGTTAGGTTTACTTGGTTTACTTGGCAGGTGTTAATTTCGGACCCTGGAACAAAGTACTCCTTTACATTTTGATAAATACCTGACATCCTTGCCAACGGTCATGGCAGCGATGACCTTCTTGACTGCCTCTTTTCTCTTCTCCTTCTTCTCATTGTTCAGCTCTGCCTTCAGCTCAAAGATCTCCCCTGTAAGATGAATCACACACAGCGAGTGTTGGCAGCAGCACAGTTTGAAGTCACTGAAAATTAATAATAGCAGCAAAGTCTAACAGGTTTGTCAGGTTTTTCCCACTGATGTTTCACACTCCCTTCCTTACTTGCCTTTTTTGTTTGTTGTGAAATATTTGGAGTCCGTCATGACTGTGGTCCTTTAAAGTCTGCAGAGAAGAGATACACTGCGTTATTATGCCATCAGCAAAACTGCACATTTCAGAGTGGCCTATTATTGTTACCAGCCCGAGGCACACCCTAATAATCATGCTGTTTAATCAACATCTTGATATGCAACATCTGTCAGTCTGATGGATTATCTTGGTAAAGCAGCAGTGCTCACTGACACAGATTTCAACAAATTTGTGCACAAAATTTGAGAGAAAAAAGCCGTTTGTGTGCATCTAAAAAGTTTCAGATCCTTTGTTTCAACTGCAAAAACCAAAAGTGTTGCATTCTGATTTTTAGTTAGCGTACAGTAACAGTTAATTCCTTAATTCATTCAGTGTCTCTTCATCCCTGAGCCGGTGTTTGACTATGTGGCATTCTGATGATCAAACCACACTCTAGATCCATTAGAAGTGCAGTCATTTAGTTTATCTGTGCTGCCTCCAGCGTTACCTGACTGGGTTGAAATGGATTTTTAATTAACATTAATAAGATCTGCCATTAGTACCTAAAGATACAAACTGGATTCAGACTGGGTTATGGAAAGTAGACAACAATACTGGTATTCTGGATTGCCTTTTCCAATACATGCATTAAAATGCAAATATAGATTGCTGTGCATTTACATAGCATCTCTCCCTGTATATTTACTAATTATTCTGTAGATCTCAAGGTTGCAGGCTGCTTGTATGAAAACATAAACACATGTAGTTATATTGTAAAAAGTGGACATAATTTGAATGTTTTACTGCGTATACCAGGCGCTTAACATAAAACATAGAGCCATATAATCTCCACTGACAAACATCTGCAGTAGAATGGGTCACACTGAAGAACTCAAAGACTTGCAAGGTAGCACTGTCACACGATACCGTCTTGATTAGATCACAATCTCTGCTATTTTTGCCCCAGTCAGCTAAAGTGCCGTTATTGTTCAGCTGAAATGGCTCCGGGACTGACGACAGTTCTTCACATGAAGCAGTAGGCCACACAAGTTTGCAACACCACCAAGTGCATTACGAATCATTTCAAATCCCCAACACTACCTACTGAGATCCAAACTGCCTCAGGAAGCAAGGTCAGCACTGTTTATTGGCAGCTTCATGACATGGGTCTCTATGGTGACGCAGAGGCACACAGGCCTAAGATCACATAATAAGAGTTGTGTTAAGCGCATTAGCACTTGACTGTGGTGCTGTGGAAACGTCATATCTGCAGAGATGAATCAGGCTTCAAGATCTGGCGGTCTGATAAAGCAAAGTCTTTGGCCATCGCCAGGACGCAATCACAATCTCGACCTGCCTGGCTTCACAGTGACGACTATAAAGGTTGCTGGAACTGAATTACAGTTTGGAGCTTGGGGCTACTGTACTGTAGGTACTTTAGTTCCAGCGAAGGGAAACCTTAATGCAGCATATTTTAGGCAAGAGTGAGCCTCCAACTTTGTGGCACACCAGATTGGGAATTGTTCATTCCTGTTTCAGTCATAGACTATAAAAAATAATGGACGTAGCTGCCATAATCTCACCCACTGGTTTGTGGACTCCCATTTAAAAGCCTCGAGTTCAGCATTTCAGCTGTCGCCATCTTGGCTTTTTGGGACCAGAAGCAACCATATTTTAGGGTTGGGCCATTTGACAACTATGTACGATATATGAACATACTTTCAAGCCCACCCCACTCACTCACTCACAGTTTCTCCATCAGCACTCAGAGAGACACAGAGCTGCTCCTCTGTTTAATCTGTCTGTTAATTAGTCTACAGTGTGACATCTGTCTATATGTTGCATGTGCTATGCTATATCAGTCTGTGAGATGAATGAACTTACCGCAGTAGCACACGTACAATCCAGCACTGTGCTGCATGTGTGGAAGACAGAGCTGCCTGATTGTGTCAGGTGAGCGTTTGTTTGCTAGTTTAAGTGTGAGCTGCATCATTGGTAGTTGGAGTGTATTGTGTGACAGCAACAACATGGACATTTCATACAGAAGACATATATAATGACGACAAAGTCTTGCTCCTTCCCTCCCTTGGCCTCTCTGCTGATGCTCTGTGCATTATAAGATTAATAGTCTGAATCAATAAATATGTATATCATTTTGCAACACTAGATTCATTTGAGAGGCCATTGGAAACTACTTGTTAACTCCCCCCACAAAGATTTCCAATTGTGTCAAACTAAAATGGATTTGGGCCAACTTGATCTTTTCATACTGATATAGTTTTGTGGCCAGTGCTGCAAACCTTTAATATGACCTTTGATATTATTACAGGGCCGTGACACACACTGCTTTCCCCTACATGAAAATACATACACCAGTTTAAATATAAAGGGTATGGTATGGGTATCATATCAGCAATTCTGGCCCTGAATTAATTGGTATCTGATCGAAACCAGATTTTGTGGTATCGCCCTCCCCTCAAGAGTGGAGGTGGTTATAACTATTCATATGCATGTTAATAACGGTGGTTTTGAATGTCAAATTCAAGTCACATATGGGTGAAATGTTCAGGTGTCCACATACTTTTGGCTATATTGTTTATGCCACATCAGGTTGTTTAAATCTGCACATTTGTCCTTGTATATGGACAACACACAACACAGAAAATACTGGCTTTTGCTGAGTGTGTCCAAGATGCAGGAAGGATGCTGCACAAATAAGATCACACTTTGCACAAACAGCAAAGTGTGCATAGTTTATGTGGCTAGCTCACGTTATACAACACAATGTAAGTTAGCTAATATTACTTAAATCTGCTGCAGTCGCTACATACGTTAACGTATCTTGATGTTAAAGCAATGGAACTGTTAAAGATGGAGCTAGCTAGTTGTGTGTACGTTAACACTGTAGCTCCTGTGTTACTGTAATTTTGTCAATTGACTCATTACATCAGAATTAAACCTCAATCTGTCGTAATAATTCAGACGGACATGAAAACGTTTGACCTCTCTCAGACGTTAAGAAAGCCACAGTTAACCCGAATCACAGCAGCTTCGCTCTGCTAGCGTTAGCTTGCTGCATGCTAACTTTAAATGCACCAGTTTAATGATTAGCGCTAACGCTACCTCTGGACTAGCGATGCTAGCTAGCTACTAACGACAAATTAACGGACAAAATAACACAACCAGCTAACGTTACGGGGTGGCCAGCTTGATTACCCTATCCACTCTGGTTTGACTGGTAATATTAGCATGAACATGAAAACAGAAAAGTGGCCAGCGGCCCAGTAACCGCTGCTGTCAGGGAGCTGTGTACGCGATTAGCTCCGCAGCTAAATTATCGCAACGAAATAACACAAAATGAACAACAACGATACCAAAATGTTAAAGTGATATATTTCAGATACCTGGTGGAGTGTATGTCAGCGGGAAAATGTTACGGTGGGTGACAGACGCAGGTTGGTCCCTTGCCTGGTTTGAGGAAGATGGAGAATCGGGATTGTGATGGTGCGTTCACTGTCATGAAACTAGGGAACTTCCCTTTTGAGTTGATACTGAGGGAGGTATTGCACACCAGGATGTGCTGCACCACAGACAAATTCGACTGATCCAATGCTTTACAGATCGATTTTATATTATTTTGATCTGCGAGTTATCACACAGCACGTATGCAAAGGACCTGACATATCAGACGCAGCAAGGTCATTGCAGTGACACCACCCATGATCGACTGCATGTGGATGATGTGGACAGATCAATCAGGTCCATTGTCGTTTAGGTTCACCAGTAAAAATAAATAAGTGCAAGAGATATATCTGAAGTGAGAATGACTTTTACATTTAAATACAAGGGATTTTAGGCGTGACTGGTTACTTTCCTACAATTTTCCATAGCAGTGAATGCAGCACGAGAGGAAAGTCTTTGCTGGGATTTCACAGATGTCCTGACTGACAGAGTTCAAACTACACTCAACAGTAATTCAAATGCAACACTTTTGTTTTTGCTCCTTTTTGTTTTTCTTTCAGGTTCAATGAAAGATTTAAGACTTTTATGCACTCAATAGATAAATTTCTCCCACATTTTGGTCGCAAATTTGTGAAGAGCCATGTTAGTGAGCACTTCTCCTTTTCCAAGATAATCCATCCACCTGACAGGTGTGGCATATCAAGATGCTGATCAAACAGCATCATTACTACACAGGTGTGCCTTGGGATGGTCACAATAAAAGGCTGCTTTAAAATGTGCAGTTTGATCACACAATACAAGACCACAGATGTCACAAGTTTTGAGGGAGCTTGCTGTTGGCATGCTGGCTGCAGGAATGTCAATTAGAGCTGTTGCCCTTGAACTGAATGTTCATTTCACCACTTTAAGACATCTCTAGTGTCGTTTCCATTGAGTCACAAAGTGCTTTACATGTCAACAATTTAAACAGACAAGACATGAAAACTTAAAAGAAATGAACACTTTGGTGTAGAAAACCAAGGAAATAAGCGTTTAAATTAACTTTAAACGAGTAAAATCAGGAACGCCTCTTTGAAAAAAAAAGTCTGTTTGAAGAGGGGATGTAAGAGATGACTGACTTGGCTGACCTGATTTCCTCGGGCAGATTGTTCCAGAACCTCGAGGTCTTGAAAGCAAAAGTTTTGACCTCTAGATTTCAGCCGCTGGAACAGACAAAAGACCTCCAAGTATGTCCTGGCATGTTCAGTACCAAGAGATCAGAAATATAGCTGGGAGAGGAATCATGTGGAGCCTTAAAACTAATCAGTAATATACTAAAATCTTTTCTAAAACATACTGGGCAGTACATCCAAAGGCGTCACAACAGCAGGCCACACCAGCTCAGTACCTCCTCAGCCAGCATGCAGCGTCTTCACCTACAATATCATCTGAGATCAGCCACCCAAACAGCTGATGCAATAATCGGTTTGCACAGCTGAAGAGTTTCTGCACAAGCTGTCAGAAACTGTCTCAAAGAAGCTCATCTGAATACTTTTCATAGTAACTGACTTGTGCAGTTGTGAATACAGTTGGATATATTGGCAAATTCACCAACACTGGAGATGTCTCATGGTAACATGCCAATGACACACTCCCTCAAAACCTGAGACATCTGTGACCAGCCCAAGGCACACCTGTGTAGTAATGATGCATCAGCATGTTGATATGCCACACCTGTCAGGTAGAGGGAATATCTTGGAAAAGAGGTGCTTACTAACATGGATTTTAAAAAATCTGCGACCAAAGAAATGTATTTATTTACTTAATTAAAAAAACGTCTTGGATCTTTAATTCAAACCTGTGAAAATGGATGCAAAAACAAAAGTGAAGAGTGACAATGACGGGTAGCGTAATCAATAAAGATACATCATGATTTATCAGTTAATGTACTTAGTTACAGTCAACCAATACCACACAGCAAGACCTCCTTTGCACAAAATCTACACAGCCTATAACTGTGTATAGAAAATAAATAAATAGTGCAAGTAGAATTTTGACATCTGAATGAAAATGGCTACAATCACATGGGACGACAACACACAAAAACAGTGGTTATAGCTCATATAAAAGTTTTTATTACAGCAAATATCATTTTAAATGTTAGAAATAACAATGTGAAAAACCTACAATCCAAATCAAAAATAAAGGATTTTATTTCTGTTACAGTTTTCACAAACCTCGCTCTCTATAACTCTGAAAATAAACTCATCTCTGAAACAAACCAGACCATACTTAGTAGGCATATTGGCTTTGCTCCTTATTCATCATGATATAAATCCATATTATTAACAGTGGTCATGATGAATGGTGTGTGTTCACAAAGCATATTGTAATATTGTAAACGACAATTCAAACTTTCTGGTGATGTCGCCGCTCTTCTACACAGCAGGTGTGAGACATTTGGTTGTTTGTATGTATTTGACAGAACCACAGTCCTTCACAGATTTCTTACACCTATGCAGAGGATTCGATCTGGAGCTGGGAGGTGGCGCTGATGAGGTCTCTGGGCAGACTTTCTCTGGCCTCTTGCATCTTTTTCCTGGCCCTCTGGAAGGCCTCTGACAAAGAAAAAAAAACGCAGATAGATAATATGTCATGACCACGGTAAACTGTCAATAGATCAGATTTGCTTGTTATTGTTTGTCTTATTATAAAAAAAAAAAAAAGATCTAAACAAAAGTGCAGCTTGAATATTGTGGAGCTACGTGCCGAAACAAACTTGTGTCCTTAAGGGTTGATCTCCCACACTCCCCCCTATTATTTCAATGTACAATCCCCCACCGGTGGCGGCTAGACGCAAGTCAGCGCTCCTGGACCTGCTGCCCTCTGCTTGTACATATCAGCTCCCAAAGCAGCTCTTTTTCTCTGCTCCTATAGCAGCTCAACCCCTCTCCTCACGTGAATGCATAAAGAGAACTCTGTAGATGTAGCTGTGTCTCATGTGTGATGAAGAATGGATGAGGAGAAACTTGTTGCTGAGGTCGACCGAGCTAAACAACCCACAATCCCGTCATTATAAAGACAGTGGCCAAAAGATGTTGGCTCTTCAGGTGAGAAATCAACTTTAATTAGTGGCTGTCCACACATGATTTTAAGCTAACGCAGATCTTTCAGTATGAGTATCAATAACTTTGTGTGGCCATCTGCTGATGAGCTGCAGCGCAACACATCAGCCCTGGTGTGTTTTCAGCTTTAACCTCCTGAATAACCAAATCTGAATGAATGTCATTACCCAGGATGGTGCAAACAGCTCCTTGCTGACTAAATCCTCCCAGCTGGTCAAAGACTTTCTGCCTCCTCTTCTTCAACATGGCTGCATCAACAAAGGCCCTGAAACACACACAGCATGGATACATTTAAAGACATGGTACAGCTACTGTACAGGAAATTAAAACATTTGAAAGTTGATGATACATGAAATATTTCAGATAGTTAGTGCACAAATATTTCAGGTGTGCTCACCTGGCTTGCTGGATGCAGTGCAGATTAAAGGTGACACTTCCTGTGGTTTCAGTGCAAAAGCCAAAGCGACTCAGCCTCTCTCCCTGCAGCCATGAATGACAGTATAAAAATAAAAATATTAAAGAGACAGTTCACCTTAAAATCAAAAATACATGTTTTTCCTCTTACATGTCGTGCTGTTTATCAGTCTAGATTGTTTTGGTGTGAGCTGCAGAGTGTTGGAAATATCAGCCATAGAGATGTCTGCCTTCTCTCCAATATAATCAAAATAGATGGCACTCGGCTTGTGGTGCTCAAAGCGCCAAAAAATACACTTCAACCTCGTCAATGTCTCTTTCCAGAAATCATGACCCGGTTAATCAAGACAATCCACAGACCTTGTTGTGAGCAGTTATATGTAGGAACTATTTTCTTTCTACCGAACTACACCATCCAGCTGTATCACCCACAGAAGGAAGCATTTATCTCCTCAATGACTGTTTGTGAAAGCGCAAGATGTCAACATTAATGGCATCTCCCTCGGCTGAGCTATAACTTTAGATCGCTCAATGGTGCTAAGTGAGCTAGCGGTAGATGCACGCTTCTTCCTGCGCAGTGATTCAGTTGGTGGGTGTAATCTGATGTAGAGAAAATAGTTCCTACATGATCAAATATATTTATTTGGCACTTTGAGCACCACAGGCCGAGTGTCATCTAGTTCCATTCACTATAAGAGAAGGCAGACATCTCTACAGCTGATGTCTCCAACACTCAGCAACTCACAAGAAAACAATCTCGATTGATTCATAGCTCTACAGGTGAGAGGAAAAATGTGTATTTTTGATTTGGGGATGAACATGGACATAAACAATGTAGGTTCTGAAATATTTACAAAATCAGCATTGTTAATGTGTGATAAGGTGTCTGTGTGACAAAATCTGTATTTCACCAGAGCTGTGTTTATTTACAAGAAAACTCAAGAGGGTCCCTTTAAATACTGCTGAGAGATGCTATGATAGGAAACTCGAATTATTCGACTACTAAACAGCCTTGAGGTAAATTATTTGTCTCAAATTCAGTACAACTACAAAGCGCACTGTGTTTCACATGGATGTTTATCTCTGTTTCACAACCTGCTTACGTTACCTCCGCTGTAGAGCTATAAATTAATCGACAATAATCTGTCTGACGTTTCATAATGAAGATTGAAATATTGCGATGATGGTTTGCAGGTAGGTCCCATGTGTGATGAATTAGTGGCATGGGCGCTATTAATAGCCACAGACAAACTGCGTCCCGCATTGAATCAGTAAGGGATGGTACATCATGTTTTTCAATATGGGACGATCCTGTATTATACAGGACGGGTGGCAACTCTATTGTCTACATGCCTCTACATGCACTGGCATCAATCACATAACCTATGCTTAGTTTTATTATTAAGGATAGACCGATACATCGGCCGGCCGATATATCGGGCCGATATTTGAGTTTTTTACTTGTATCGGTATCGGCATCGGCCGATACGCGCGTGGGTTCGCGGATTTATTTTTCCCTGGCATGATTTACAGACAGGC